ACATTTGCACATGACTGACAGTAACTCTCACAAAGACTGCCAATGGCCACACAGAAAACACTTCTGGGGAAGCATCTGCCTCGTACCTGTCTGCTCAACCTTGGACTGGTGTCTCCCCTGTTATTAATCCTGTGGCCAAGGGTTATTATTTCAAAATCGTTTGTGTAATTCTCAGTTTTACTTTTAAAGTCTTGCCCTCGCCTCCACCTTTGGTTGAAGTGTCTAGCTTACTGTGTCAGGCAGCTTTGCGTAGCTGTGACAAAATACTTGAAAATATCAGCTTCAATGGGGAGGGTTTATTTTGGCCTGTGGATTCAGGTTGCAGGCCACAGTGGGCTGACTCCATTGCTTTTAGGCCCGTGGTGAGGTAGATACACCATGGGAGGATGTGGTGGAGGAAAGCAGCTCATTTGTGGCAGCCAGGAGCAGACAGGAAAAAGAGCTGAGAGCAAGGGATTGGGGATCAGACATGGAGCCCCATGACCCACTCTCCTTCGACTAGGCCCCTTGCACCTCCTGCTTCCATCACTCCTAGGGATGCCATCAAATGATCATCTCAACAATGGATGAACTCAGTGATGAAGTTAGAGACCTCGGGGTCCCACTTCTGAGCACATCAGACTTGGGGGGGTATTTTAGCTCTGAGCCATACCTTTACTAGGCCACACATGCACCCACATCAATCCATGGCTCTTCCCAGGTGTGTACGTGTCCTTAATCTTTGGTGAACTGCTCCTTGAGTATTACTTAGGTTGGCAGTTACCACTCATAATATAGTATGTAAGAACAGTTTTTGTTATCTTTGTATTTGTGCTGTCAAAACAAGCATGAGTTTTTGGTTATCTTATCCAATTTCTTGGCAGGAGCTCACATAGCTCACAAAGCCTTCTTTCGGTGTTTTTGTTCTTCTTGTTCCCCAAACCTGCCACGCCTTTTAAACCTGTTCCTACTTTTTCCCAACTTGGAGTTGATAAACCCTCCCACCTCCAGCAAAGCTGTGCGCCTTTTCTTGCTAGGTAACTATCCATTCTAATGTTTAAATGCCAACATGAGCTTTATCTCCCATTTTTTCCCCTAGCCCAAATAACTTTTAAGAACTTTTAACTGTCTCTTGACATCTTTATTTTGGGTAAGTCACTGAAATCTCAAGTTTTCCTACCCAAGTCTAAAATCTTGATTTCCTTTCCTGTTCTTTTCAGTCTTTCCCCTCTCAGAAAAATGCCATCACCTTCAGCCCAATGTTCTAGTCAGAGCCCTTGGGATTAGGGCTGGTTCCTCCTTTTCCTTTGCACCCCACGTCTTAGTCCATTTCCGGTTGTTCTAAGTGAATACTTGGGACCGGCGTTTATAAAGAGAAGAGTTTTATTTAGGCTTGTGGATCTGAAGGTCACACGTTCAAGATCAGGTGGCTCCTTCATGAGATGGTGGAAAAATGGAAGGGCAAACAGAACACAAGGAGGAGGAGGGGCCGTGGGCTGACCTGAGTTGTAATAACCTGCTCTCCGAGGACTAATCTGTTCTTGGGAGAGTCCAGTCTCAAGAAAGACAAAAATCCCCCGCCTTCTGTCACTCCGCCTGGCAGGCAAATTCCAGCGCCGAGGTTTGGTGGGGATGGATCACATCCCAAGCTGGCACCTCGTCTCCTGTCATTCTTCCTGTCAACTGTACGGAAGTCTTTTCCCTCGTGTCAGCTCCTCTGCCACCACTGTGGCGAAAGGCACCGACCAGTACCACTGCCAGGCATCTTCTCCTGTCCCTGCTTTCCAAATAGAAGCCAGAACAAGACTTCAAAAACACCAGCCAGACTACGCCTCTCCTGTGCTTAAACTGAGGTTCCTCACTTCATTCTACATCGAGACCCCAGCGTCTGACACTGGGCCAAAGGCCTGGCGTGCGGGCCGCCCCTTTCCCTGCTCACCCACCGCGTCTCCTCCGAGCAGGGCCTTTCCCCAGGAGGCACCATGCTCGGGCTTGCTGCTCTTCGCAGGGCTGTTTCTTATTCCGCCTCCCTCAGCTGAAGTGCTGCCTACTGGCGAGATCTACTCTCATCAGAGCAGCAGTCCGCTCACACTGTTCTGCCGTAGAGCTCCCTGATTATCCAGGCTCCACTGTTTATCTGCTTATCACTGTTAGGACGAGGAAAGGGGTCAAGGCGAGACGCGCACGCGGCCCTCGCCAGGGCCAGGTGTATGCATCAGTCACCGCTGCAGCTCACGCACCATTGCGCTCACCTGTTAGCTTTCCCGCTGCCTATTTAGGAGAACCTTCTCTGGTGGTGGTGGGGATTGAACTCCAGGTCTCATGCGTGCTAAAACGTGACTGTACCACATCCGGCTCGCGGAAGTGCTTGATTTTGGTTTTCTTTCATTAAAAACCTCCACACATCTGAGCGCATTCTCTTTGGGTAACACACCAGACTCACTGCCTGGCCCGGTAACAAGGAGATTTTAGCTATTTCTTCAGCTACTTTTCTGCTTTTACTCCTATTCCTCAAGCCTCTTTAAATATGTACACATAAAACATCTGCACGATGAGTGGTTAATTTCTCACTAGTTATTTTTTGGCGGTCCTCAAGCCCAGGGCCTTGTGCACCCTGGGCAAGTACTCCACCACCGAGCGACAGCCCTAGTCCCCGCCAGCATTTACCCTTTTCTTAGCAATCAGGTGAAAATGTATGAGCCAAAAAACACTAACTGCAATGCCTCTTAAACAGGAACTCCGGCCTCCAGATGTCTAACGGGCTAAGCTGCCTCTCCAGACCAACTGGGTTAAAACAAACGTGGAGCTGCTTTGCTCTTCTGACAACTACTTCACTTACTTTTTCTGGGCTCAACACGTCTTTGATTCCTTTGACACAGACGTAATGAATTTGTATTTAAAACCGATTTTTGGAAAATTCTATAATTAATAATTGATCTTGGTTGAAACTTGTCTATAAAAAAAAAGAACTAAGACTAGAAACCCTAAAAGAAAAGCATCAGACCTCGTTCGGCCCTGATTCCACTACAATCAAGGGTTTGGAGAAGCTTTAACTCTGGGTCACAGTTTTTTCAAGTTTGAAAAAGGACGCAGTGGAGGAGAGGGAGGGAACAGCATGAGGATCTCTGCAGTCCTCACCATTAGAAAATGTCCTGATTCTGTTTCCCCGTTGGATGGGTGCTCATTATTGTAACACTGTATCAAAAGCGTTGCCCAGGCATCTCATTTAAAAAGCATGACCTGGATTTAGCTCAGTGGCACTGCGCCTGCTTTGTAAGCACAAGGTCCTGAGTTCGATCCATGGTACCATAAATAAAGAGCATGACCCTAGAATTATTAACCCCCCCCTTTTAGGTACGGAAGACTCACTCCTATAAGGTTAATTGTTGTAATGTGTCATCAGAGTGAAATAGCTGAGTAGAAACATTTACAAATTGAAAAATGCAAATAAAAGCAAGACTTTTAAAAAATTGGAATATCTGGTGAAGTCTCCTGTCTTCAGGGAACTGCCACGGCCAGGACACACACCACCTGTGCTCACCCACTGCCCAGGCAGCCAACGCTTGGATCCGTGGCAGAAGGCGGGACTGCAGAACAAGCGCCAAGCTCCAGCCTGACACCTCAAAGACAATAAACACAAGAATAATCCAAAACTAATCTTCAGGTAGGCAAGATGACACTGGAGTCTAGGAGACTATTTACTGTATGTCATCCCATATTTAGTATTTAAAGGGTAAAATATGTAAGGAAATGGTGTACCAAAATCTCATTTGAAAAAGTGTTGATGTTGGTATTTCTTCAGAAAAATTAACAAAAATTGAAGGAGTTGTGTATCAAGAACTGAACTATTTATTACCTGTCAAATTTGCTTGGGTCTTTTTATTCTGTATAATTTGAACGTTTTCCACTGATACCAAATACATTTGCATTTTTTTAAGCTGGTAAAGTAACATCATGATAAAGCCAGGTTCTAAAGCTAAACTTCAATCAACTCATGATACAAATTTCTTCTATCACAGGTTAATCAACACCCATGAGTAGTTTTAAAAAAACAACTATTTCGAAGCATATCTCTTTCAAACAGCTGGTCTACAAAGATTTGATTTCCGGAGTCCACAGATCAAGTGCTGAGCATAAAACTGCAGTCTGAGAGGACCCAAAAGCTACTGCGTCCTGGCTGTCAGCATTATATCTAACTTGTCTTGAATGTACAGAGGGGAAACTGCTCCACTTTTCTATCTTCCCACAGGCAGCATCTGTTCTTGCACCCCGAGAAAGGATCCTGCAGCAAGTGCGATGTTCTCCGACAGCACCACATGCACCTGGGACACTGCCAGCCCACAGGGCAGAGAGGATGCCCTGCGGAAGTTAGACATCTTCACAGCATCATGCTCAGCCTCCGGAGGGCATTACCTAGGGCGCTAGTTACTAATATGGTGGCGCTTCTAAAAAAAGAGACTCAACACCCCCTAACTTATATCAGATTTAAAAAATTATAATTACATCTCTGATATTTTATTAATATATAAAGGAAGGTGTAATATACTAAAAAATTCCACCATTATTTGATAATGTGGGAAGTCTCTACTCTTGTAGCTAGGCCCAAACTGAAGCTGAACTGAAAAGAAAATCATATGGAAATCCCTTAGGTAAAAAAATATTTCCTATTGTAATATAATGTTATTTTTCTTTTTGTGGTACTGAAGTTTGAACCTAGGGCCTTTCTATTAAGCTACATCCCTAACCCTTTTTAAAACTTTTTTACTAGGTTCTTGCTAAGTCTTACTAGGTTGCCTGGGCTGGCTTAACTTGTGATCCTCCTGTCTCAGCCTCCCAGAGTGCTAAGATTATAGGGGTGCACCACCACAGCTGGCCTAAGGTTCATTTTTTTTAAAGGAAAAGTAATGATTGAGAAAGACGATTTTTGTATCACAAATATAAATTTTCCAATCTGACAGGTATAAAAACAGCAGCACAAGAAATATACATAAATCTTAATCAACTGAGCCAGGACAGCGAGGTATTTCATAGAAAGTTATTTTATTATCAGAACAGCACGGTGTCCTGTGTTTAAGATCTATTTATTGGGTTATTTTTACAAGTAGCAAAGTCCCTCCACTTTCTGCAGGTGACTGCACATGAATATGAAAAGCCGCAGATTTCCACACTGGCCTCCCGCCCACCCGCTAGGGTCACTGAAGCTGTGGTGGGTGAGCAGCCTCTGGAAGTGGCCACGCTCCCCTCGCCTCTCACGTGCTCTTGGACTCTAGCGATCTGTTCAGTCGTCCTCTTGCTGATTTCTTTTCTGTCAAAGGAAACCAAGAGTACACTGAAACGGCACGTGCTGATCGGGACATCTGCTTCGCCAAGATCCTGGGTTCTGTCAACAAGTGTAATTATCTAGAGGCCCTGAAAATGAGGCGCTTAAAGCAATCACAGGAAAACATGCCCTAACCAACTGATTAGGCTCCTACGACACTTTGATTCGGGGGCCAATTAGGGTGAAGGATTCCAGTATTTCCTTCTCGTTCAGTCACAGGTACACACATGGCCACACAGACACATGCAGAGAAATACAAATGTTCCTGCTTCCCCAAGTCACAAGACATCTGCGCTCATGGCCCTGTGACAATGTCCAGACCTTCTTTAAAGGCAGTACAAAGAAAACATTTAAAAAAGCATATACTTCATAAGCATATACATTTTCTATCACTGTAATCAATTACTCCTTCAGATCCCATTCCACGCTGTATTATAAAATGACCCAAGTCGGTTAGTTCTGACTTTTTAATTATCATCAAGTAAGTCTGAGCAGCACAAGATTAAACTGAAATATTAAAAAGCCCGCAACCAGCTTTCTAAATACACATGTATCTACCAGCTTGAGAAAATCGATGAGCTTGTGGGCGTCCTCCCCGGTGGACAGGTCTACGAAGTCCTTGGGCAGCCGGTAGCTCAGGTAGGGGCTGGGCTGGACCGTGACTTCACTGTTCGTGCAGCGGAATGCTGGAGAGTCCTTCAAAGGGAGAACAGCAAAGTCTGTAGTTTCCTTTAGGTCTGCTCTTCAAACTGAAAAATAGCCTAGAATAACAACCTCAATACCATGTTCTTTTCTGTACTAGAAAAGGAAGAAAGAATAAGATTCTAAAGTAAAAGAGGGCACTAATATTTTACAATGATTGCATGTATTCATTAGAAAACAAGCAGAAGTGTCTCGTGTGCAGCTAGGGTGATCTCTGAGCGCCACCAGTGCGTGGATATGGGTCGCAGCAGCCATGAGTGGGCCCAGGCCTCACGCAGCCTCACAAAGGCCAGGACATTTCATAAACACTATGTTTCCTACAGGTGCATGGCGGGGAAGCAGTCACAGGGAGTACTGAACAGTGAGGGTGAATGGGTGCGCTGAACCCTCTGCTCTTCCGTACTTAGGTCACTGCTCATCTCTCAAACATACAACTGCAAATCCAAGACTCGTGTTTAACAAGTCCTCGTACTCATTCTTCCACGTACTTGCTCAGGATCTGGAACACAGTACCTACATGCTGCCTTTGGCAAGGATTTCAGGGACAGAGCAGCCTTGGGCTCGGACTCCCTGGGTGGCAGATGCATAGCAGGGCTGCGAGGAAGACAAGTCAGGACCCGAAGGGAGGGCTGAGGAGTCCCACAGGATGCCGGCCGCACACCTGCTCTGAGCCAGATCTCTTTCCAGGTGTGGGACATAAACCGGCAAGTGGGACTGGGAGACCGTCAATAAGCAAGCAAGCACATGACAAGTCTGCGCGCACCACGAAGTGTTCGCGAAACAGTGCCGGGACAGTAACTCTATCAGGACAACGATGGGGACGACTTTAGCAGGGTGGTCACACAGGATCTTGCTAAGAAGGGGATGGGACCCCTGGGCTGAGAAGTGGACAGGTGAGGAAAGCAGCTGTGTGGCCTGGGAGCAATGCATCACGGTGGTGACTGGCGCTAAGCCCTGGAGGCAAAGCCTGGCTGTGTCCCTAGCTAGTGGGAGGGAGGGAGGGAGAGAGAG